GAGACATAGCATGACTCCGCCATCACCTCCCAGACACCACAAGTCCTTTTGAGGTTGAGGTTTCCACTCAGACATGGGATGAAAACCTGAGCTTCCCAATTCTCACAGCCAAGATACCTCCCATAGGACAGGGGACTCCAAAGTCGCGGAGAGCATGTTGAAATTTGATCTGTGAGGATGAACATCTTCTTCTCTCTCAAGCAGAGCTCATTCGTCCCGGAAGTATGTCTCTTCTACGTGTTGCCCACCACCAGTAAAGCTTCCTTTCTCTTCAATTTTACCATTCCCACAACTTGCTTCAAAGTAAGATTCAAGGTGCCTTTCCCATAGACCTATCTCTCTCGATATTGCTTTCTGTAACTCTTGGTTGGGCCTGGGCTGGAGCCCTGTCTTTGTTGCTTGCCAGTTCTTTTGGTTTTTGTCATTTTCAGTTCCCTCAACTGTAAACTAGAGACTGCAGTACAGGTCCTAACAGGCGATTACAAGGATTAGAGGATATTGCCTTGCACACGGCATCACATGTAATAAACACTCAATAAAAATTAGTTTCCTCCTGAAAGCCGGCAGCATATGCGCTCTTTGCCACAACTTAGCACATGTCCTGTTCCCTCTTTCATGTAACGTCTTAACTCCTCAGACAGACTGAAGTCTTCCAAGGTAGAAATTTTCTGCATCCAAAGATTACATAGACTAGCTCCAAGAGCACTGTTGGCTGTCAGACCACCTTCCTGTAAGTGCACTAATCTGAACAAACAGCAGAGATGACTCTCATTCTCTCCCAAGGAAGTTGGGAAAACAAAGCTGTATTTTGGCCTAAAATAGGTTATAGACACAGATTTGAAAAGTCCTGAAGACTTTTTCAAGTAATAATACTAGAAAGGCAGTCTAGGAACAAAAACGTCTGGTCTCAACCGAGCGCATCTTCAAGCGAAGATGCCACTGCCCCCAGCAGGAGGACCACAAGCACATGCGTGATGTCTGCATTTATGCTGCTTGCACTGGCACCGGCTTGGAGAGCCCTTCTGCAAAGGTCTATGTCTCTGAGCATCATCCTCATTCTTCAGTTACTCCCTAACCTCCTGGAACCTTCATCTTCCTCAGAGTAATTTGCCAAATCTAAAATTATACTATTTAGTCAGGCACAGGTGTGGTCAATATCTCCCTTTCAATCTTGGGTTCCTTAAAGACAGGACCGTGCCCGGGGGTTCACTCCCACATTGCACTATCTAAAGCATCACTGGGAAGAATGGTCCTGGAATAAACCTTTCCTGAGTTGAACCAGATGAAAGAGTTGAGCTGGACAAGGGTGTGGAGACCAATCTCCAGTGATTAATAATCATAAGCAAAAGAGGTTTGGAAGAAAGGTACCTGTGGCCAGGCTTTCCTGAAAAGACCATCTCCTGAAGCTTAATGAAGGCAACTCGGTCCAGTAGGGCATCTCTGAAATCATCAGAACTAGGACTAATAAACTAATCAAATGTCGGCATCAGTTCACCTGTGCTCTTGGTTGTCAGCCCTCTAAACTCCCACTGATGAGGAAAGTGTTCGTGGAAGAAGCTACTGATCTCTAGTACCCAGGAACCTTCTGGGAGGCTAAGGCTATACCTTGGTGGTAGACTGCTTGGTGCCTGGAATGTGGGAGGCTCTGCATTTGAGCTACAAAAAGAAAGGGGGTTGGGAAGAAGGGAAGGAAGGGGAGGGGAATGAAGGGAAGGAAAAGTAAAAAGAAGTTTTTGAATATCTCTGCCTAGATTAAATTGTTCGCGTTTAGTTGAAATACTACATTTGTGATTCAAAAGATGTTTTCTTGCCTTTTAAAGTTGATATTTCATTCTTAAAGCCACTATTTCTTTTACATCTACAAGGACTCTGAGCTTCTTCTAAGTTCAATTAAGCCCAATTTTCTTAATGAAAGAGTCTTGACCTGACCCTCTTATCCTGGACATCGTCTCTGAATTTTAAGCAATTTTTATAGCATCTTTCACACATGAATGAGTAAAAAGGAACCCCTTTCAAGAGAGAAATCGTCGGGGCTGGAGAGATGGCTCAGTGAATAAGATTTACAGTTATACCAGATTGCAGCAACCACACAAGCCAGTTGTGGTCCCTTGCTGACTGCTAGCCCAGGCCAAAAACAAAAAAAAAAAAAAAACAAGAACAAAAACAAAAAACAAGAGGTCTAAGTTCAGGGAGACACTCTGGCTAAAAGGAACAATACAGAAAGTGATAGGAAGACATATGATGGATACATATTGCATCGACACCTACAGTTACACACGCACATACACATACACTAAATACATAAATCATGGAGCATGTTTGGTTTTTACACTTCATTATATACAGTGCTGCTAGTTGATATGTAAGTTAAATTTATAGTTATCTCCAGCATAATGCTTTATGAAAGAACAGTATTTCTTTGCTAATTTAACTACCCTTATTGTGAATTCAGTCATGAAATCATTCTGTACTATCCCTGTAAAAAACAAATATGGTTGACAGATTCAGCAGTGAAAATGTTTATGTACTAAGCATCTCTGATATCCCAGGATCTGTCCTATGGATTGAGGATTTACAAACAACCAAAATGAGCTTTCCCTTGGGAAAAAATACCTGAGCAAACCATATCAACCTATTAAAAAATACTTTTAAGAAACACTTTTTTGGTGTTTAAAATATAAAATATAATAATGTTTTATGATTTCATAAAAAAGAATATATTCTTTTTATTTTTGAGGTATAATTTAGTTATAACATTTATCCTTCCCTCCAAATCCTTCCACATGCCCTCCCTTCTCTCCTTCAAACTCATTGCCTCTTCAGTCACTCTTATTACATGTATATGTAGACATATATGCATGTACACTCCTAAGTATAGTCTGTTCAGCTTGTCTAACGTGATTTGTACTTGTGTTTTTAGAGATGACCATTTGGCACTGAACCACTAATTGGTGTGCTCTTCACTGGAGAAGCCCACTTCTCCAGATTCCAGATTTCTTCATTTGCCTTTAGTTCCTTGTGTAGGGTTGGAGCTTTTCTCCAACTAGTTTGCCATTAGAGTATATTATTGACAAATTTTTAGTTACTTTTTTATTCATTTTATGCATGTTTTGCCAATGTTTAAGTATGTACACCATATTTGTGTATGGTGATCACTGAAGTTGGTAAAGGGTATCAGATCCCCTTCAACTAGAGTTTCCAGATGTTGTGTTCTAACATGTGGGTGCTTCAAATCAAACCTGGATCCTCTGCAGGAGAAACACATGTTTTTAACTGCTGAGCCACCTCTCCAGCCCCATCTTGAAAAATCCTTTATCCGGTATGTGTTGTTCTTTCTATTACATTCTCAGGTACAAAGGAAACCCACATCATAGTATGGGCATAAGTGGTTTAGGCTATTCTAAAAGAGCTAAAATTACAAAAATATGTCTTACTTAGTGCTCTAAATTTTAGAGTAGAAACAATTGTTCAAATTATTATTCTTTCTAAATGAAAACATGTCTATGCCAAGTTTGTTGCATGCTATATTGCGGTTATTACCTAAGACTTTGAAGGGCACTAAACCGATGAACAGTGCTTGGTCTACTAATAGATCAGAAAGAAATAACCAAATGCTTCGCATGTAGTTAGTTTTGTTCCACCAGTCTGCAGAGAAGTAACTTACAGTTTCCTAATCAAAGGGTCTGTTCATGTTTTGAGTCTGGCCATGCAGAAATAGCCTAAAATTTGTGGAGATATTGAGTTGGCCATTGTCTCAACTAGTTTGGCAACAATTTGACCATTAATGGGACTGACTGGCGTGCCACTTTCTGAGTTACTTATACGATCAAAGCAATGATTAAATTCTTAAACCTAGATCCAGTTTCAATGAATGAGTGCAATGGGCAGCATCCCATGCTTCCCACATCCTATACCAGGAAAATGAGTCCATGGGTAACCAGTGTGACTATCCAATAGGACGCAGAGCAATGTGGAGGTAAGAAGAGATTTTTATGCTCCTGATCTGCTGTTTTCTATGTTTTCTAATCATATAAGCAGGGCAGGATTCACAGTTCCATGTCTCATTTACAAAAAAAAAAAAAAAGACTGTCTTCCCTTTTCCCCATTTATGGGTATTGTGGGGCGTGCCTGATATGGTATGTGAAAGTGCTTGGGAATGGTATGACCCTCGCATGGTATGACCCTCGCACGTCATGGGGCTTTGTAAGTTGAACTTATGCATGACAGTTCAAAGCCCCTCCTCCCACGCTTCAGTGATGCATTCAAAAGGGAGCATAAAATTATTATCAAACATATGAAGCAAACTCCAGCCTCAGAGACATTCTTATCACAGTCTCTCTGAGTCTACCTTTGTTTCTGGTTCTCCAAATGGCACAGTGCTCTGGTGTAATGACATAGTGCTAATTGCACAAGCACTAGAAGATCCTACCAGGTCTATCACTTGCTAGCTGAGGACCTTCACCATGTATTTGATCTTCTATAGAACCGCTTTCAAATCTACAAATAGAATTATTAAAATCACACCCATCTCATAGAATTGTTGGAGGATGAGTCATTATAAAAGAAATCATAGGGAACGCAGCTGTGAGACCATATTTGTGCAGTTAACATGTAGGTGAACATCCTGTTAAATGTGAAAATCCAGTTCCAGGTCTCAGTTCCCGCTCTGACAGCTTGTGTGATCCTGGATAATTCACCAACTTTTAAATAGCTCAGGTACGAATCATAAAATGAGGATAATATTGACTTTATGATGGCCACGTAAAACTCATTGGTAACTCATGTGAAATTGTTTGACTAGATTGCAACACAGAACACAAATGCACACAGCTGTTGTTTAGTTTTTCTATATGAACAAACACACAGGAAACAATTGCAAAGATTTTATTTAGCGGCTTTCTGTGCTTGGCACTCAGAAACAGTTCCGTGCATAAGGGCAAATTTTTATACACCTTTTCTTCATACATATTTTACATACCCTTTTATTGCCCCCTTTTTAATATTCATAATATTGAATACCCCCACTAGGCATATAAATACATTTATCTACAACACCTCAAAACCAAAAAAAAATCTTAATAATATCTGTATTATCTTTCTTGGTATCATTTGCGTTTCCACAACATTTAAAAATTTTAGCTTGCAGCAAGCTTCACTTGTTTTCTTATCATTAAAGGATTTGAAAGAAAAAAGAAAGAAAAAACAACCCCCAAACTTCAGAATGCAACGAACTATTTGATCAAAATGGAGAGCTACAGACAGGTAGAAAGGGGGCAGAAGACCCATCTGCAATTCTCTCCGGTGTGTCAGGGTTTCTCTTGCATGGGACCAGGGGCAGATCGTCTAGGTCAGCACCTTGAATCTGGCATTTGAAGCTAAGCCTGTCTTCCGTGACTGTTTTTGGTATCACCTGGGAGATAAAGTCATTCTTCAATCTCCACACCCGTTTCCCTCATCCTGTCAGGCTGCCGTGAAATGGCACTCCCATTCGGTGCACCTCTCTCCTGGGTCTTTGTGGTCAGAGCTGCGGAATCCAGCATTCCTTGTCCTAACCCTTCTCATTGGTACCCTTGGCTAGAAGCTGAGTCCCAAAGAGGCTTACTCTCCAATAACACCATCATTCTTTCTAAAACTTTAGGGGCTAACCAAACCCAAACTATTCTCCTTGGCGAATTCAACCTCCTCATTTGTTCACATCTTCTCAGTCTCGTCATCCGCTTCCTCTGCTGCTGTCAATTCTCTTTCTCTCTCTCAACTCTTCTCACCCTGTCCTTCCACAGGCACTGTTAGGACGTCAGTGATGGCACACTGAATGAAGAGAGCCGAAAGTTTCAAAGCCATTTCTCTCAGGAAGCCAAGTCCAGCTGATGTCTGTCCACCGCAGTGATGTGGAGAGGTTCTAGGGCACATGGTTCATTCCAGAAACATGGTAAGCTGCAAAGGAGAAAGGCTAATGGCTAATGAAGACCCAATCCATCTAGGGTTGTATATGGACAGATTGTTGATGTAAGCACCCACTCTGGGCCTCCCTCCATAGAGTTCACCCAGTTCAGAGTCAGTGTAGAGAATGTTTGTGTTTGTAAAACTTTGTGTATGCATGTGTGTGGATGAATATAGGCGTGTAAGTTTGTATGTGTGTGTGTGTGTCTGTCTGTCTGTCTGTGCATGAGTCTGTATGTGTAACTTTTCTTGGCTGCTACATGCTAGCATCTCCATCAATATTATTATAAAATGATTATTCATCTCTTCAAGGCCACTCTGTCATACACAATGCTTTTTATAAAACTAAGAGTTTGGGAGGCAGAAGAATGACCACTGAGTTATGGATGATGCACTCCAAGGATCCTTCAGTGGTATCTATTGCTCTTCTCTGTTTTCCTTATCCAGAAAAACAAAAAAACAAAACCAAAAACAAAAAAAAACAAACGCACAATTCCTATTTTCCCAAGGCACGGGATTCCCAAAGAGGAAGCTCCACCCACAGAGATTCTGGAGTCTTGACTGCCATCATCCATGGTGCTTGGACTGCTCCTTAAACCATGTGCACGGACATCTGGGAGGAGGAGCCTGGGACTGCCCCATACTGTCGCCCATCGCAGGTGTTGGCAGCCTGTTGACTGTTACCTGCAGGGCTGATCATATGCATTCCGTGCTCCATCCCTGTGGGCAGGTACTGCCTCTCTCCAAAGGCCCCGTTGGAAGGAGAAGAGCAGAGTAAAGTGCTTTGAGATGCGCTCAGTTTTTCTGGGCTTGCAGCTAGCCTGGGGGAGGTGGGGAAATTGTATCCATACAGATTGTAGGGATTGTGCAGGGAGAAGGCATTGTAGGAGCTCTGCTGCATGTGGCTGCCACCAAACATGTGCGGTGATGAGGAGCTGGATGCCGCATTGCCTGCCTGCATGACATACTGAAACTGGGAAGTAGGGAAGGACCCCAACTGGCCACCATAGGCTTCCATCTTGCTGTTGCTAGGCAACGAGGGAGGTGTTGGTATTCCTGAGATCAGAGATGGAGTCCTCTGAGGCATGAAGGTTTCAGAGGGCTGAGTGGCTGAAGCTGTGCCACTCTGGAGCCTGTTGTAGCCACTGTCACTCAGCCCTGGATAGCTCTGCAAGGCAGCCATGTTGCTTCGGGCACACGGTGGATACTCGGAGAGATTCAGATTACACAGCTGGCTTTCTCGACAGCCCACGTTGAAAGTATTGGGGGCCAAATGAAAAGTTGGAGGAGAACAGGATGGAGATAAGAGATGAGAAGAAGCCGAAGGAGACGGTGTCCCGGTGCTGGAGGTGGTTGGGGAAGTACCTGTGCTGCCCCCTGAAAAATAAAACATGAATTCCAACTGATTAAGATTATAAATCAATTGTTTCCTGTTACATCAGAAGGTGATGTCACATGTTTGAGCACACGTTACAAAGGAGATGACAAAGGATGACATGAGACCACTGGTCTTTGCATTTCTTTCTGGTCTTAGTCATATTTTAAAAGTTTACATCAAACTTTCAGTGTTCAGTTTTTATATTCTTACCATCGAAGCCACTTCCTAATAAGACTTTCAGTGATCAGCAGTAGACGCTACTAGCTCAGCTCTTCCCATGGGCGGGGCAAATGTGTAAGGTCTATATTTTATTGAGTAACACTTTCCTTATCATGCATTCTTTAGTAGAATACCAAGGCAGGACGCTAACCTTATTGGGATGAAGCAGGGTACCAAGTTAGGACTTAGACCTGAGAAAGCACAGCAAACAAACCTGAGTTATGGAACCTGGGACATTATTTTGGAGGCCTGGTATATCATATCAAAGGCATGTGATAAGCGTAATTATAAGATGCAGACTAAAGTGAATCAGGACGAAATTAAAATCACAGTCCTGAGGATCTGCTGGTCTTTCACAGCCTGCCAAGCCTGGGAGGCTGGAAGAAGAGTTGTACATGGAATACTTGAGTGTGGATATGTATGAAGCCAGACTAGCCATAAACTAACCAGAGTGTTAGCTGAACAGATTCGGCTCTGTGACTCCCCTGGCTTTGATTTTCTTCATCAGAGATGAAGCCTCTGGTAAGATCGGTGGTCCTGAAGCTGAAAAGTCCTGCCATTTGAATGTGCTACTATGCTAGGATTCAACCTGGAACCAACTAAAGGCGAGTTTCCGTACGTGAGAATTCCGCGTCAGCACTTTCTCAAAGCTCCTCTAATGTACAGCCGGGGTGGAAAGCTGACGATGCCGTGTGAGTTCCTACTTCACAGTGCGCAGACCAGCGATTCTGAAATGCCAATGCGCATGCGCGTCGGCTGGAGGGCCTATGAAAACAGACGGCAGGCTCCGTTTGGTTTCTGGGTCTGTGTCCATGGGGAGGAGCTTGAGGGTGTACATATCAGGCCCAGAGGTTGTACTTTACAACGGAAGACCTTCCAAAATCCTATTTCCAAATGATCCTGCGTCTGCCTTGTAAAAGTCATTAACCATGTAGATGGCAGGCTATACTAAGGGTTGAGGCTCCAATGGACTAAGAATTGGTTCAAGCCAGCCTTCACCAAAGATGTTCTCCAAATAAGAACACCAAAGGTAACCTTTGCAAAGACCCATCTTTTTGGGGGGCAGGAGGCATCCGCTCTCTACCTCTTTCAATGGACGTCAAAGGCACTAAGTGCTTGGGGTAGCTGAACCTTCATTGAATTCTAGAATATTCAACTGCTTTGTCCTTTCTAGAATCCTTCTTGATGAACTGCCTTCCATGTACCCATATGGTACTTCTCCTAATTGTTGAGAACCGTGGTCCTTCAAGGGACAACATGTCTTACGTTACCAATAACTGTTGTTGAGGCTCGGAGAAACTAAGCATCATTAGAAGGGAAGTGTTTTTCAGATGACAAAGAACAGGACTGAGTTTTCTTTTGTTTTAATCAATGAAGCATTCCAGATGTAGTGGGAAAACATCTCTAGCATTCTAGGAAGGAAAGAAGCTGGTAGAGGGGGCAAAAAGCCTTGGTCTAGATCACAGGCAAAGTGGGGGTATTGGTAGTAGAAGAAAAGATTAGACTTTGTTAGGATTTTGCTCAGAGTTAAATTTTTATAGCTCAATATTATCTCTTCCATGGTCAAAGGGATTTCCCTCAGTGAACTTTCAGATCCAATTGTATTTAAAGACAATCCAATCAGCTGCTAATTTTAGAGTCATATCAAAAAAATCTCTTTTCATAACAAATTCCTGTAAAAGAACTAAAACGGGTTTGGTTCGACAGTCTGTGATAGTCTGTGATAAGACTGGCATTGCCCAAAACTACAAGCAGCTGGGAGGAGCTTCTCTTCAGTTCACAGCCACAAACTGCGACTCCATCACTGTGTTCTCCACAGAGACGGAAGAAAGGGCTTGAGCCAGTGAGCCTCATTTTCCCTCCTTTTCATACTGTGGCTGTGTCTAAGGATCAGCAGGAGTATGAATCATCAACTCCGAATGCTTTCTGAGGCATCATTTTAATCTAATGAGGGAGTCCTGGAAGGGGAAGCTTCCAGAAGCAGAAGCAGGCCATCTCATGCTTCCTGCTGCTGAGTGGTCGGATGCCTCTCTCCCTCTATATCCTACAGAAAGCTCAGAGATTTCTTTTTTTTCCTCTTTGAGGCACCCTACATACAATTTCTGCTTTTCCACCCTAAATGCCACAAACTTTACTGTAGTAAAGTGCTGTGGCCCAAATGGAGAAATTTGACTCCAGCTGTAAAGAGATTTGTGGTTTTACGAGATATGAATATAGTCTCCTGTCTTTGAAAACTAGTCCTGCTCTCCCTGGTCTGGTGTTTATGTGACCCCTGAGGAGACCACCTGTTCAACACACTGTCCTATCCTGTCATAGGTGAGCTCCAGCCGGCACAGGCCTCGGCCCTGCTGCCGGAAGTGCAGGATGGAGTAGATGACGTTCTACAACTCTAAATGGTTTTCTCAGATGGCCCAAGATGGAACGAATGGTACTGATTTAAGGCCTCAATTGGTTTCACTACAGAAGAAAAAAAAGGAGAAGAAGAAGGGAACTATTAACAAGTTACAGGGGTTTCTGCTGAGCAGATGAGAGGCACATGTTAAAAAGTTTGTAGTCAGCTTGCTTTGGCTTTTAAATGACATTCACTGGAAATGAGACTTGGTGGCCTGCTGAGCTTCAGGGGGGGTGGGAGCCTCCATATGAGCGAGTGTTTGAAGGAGAGAGTAAGCCTGTCCAAAAGAGGGTCACGTTGCTCCCATTCGCCTTGAAGAAACATTGTTATGCACTTAAAGTACTCAATACAGATAAGAAGTAGTTCTCGGAGTCCACATAGAGAGAGAGGACTGTGGCATTCATTTTGTAGAAAGGCAAACGGAGATACTGAGAAGCCTTTAGTCTCTTATGATATAACGGCTTGTCAAATGTTAAACAAGATTGGGAGTGCCAGCCAAGCGCTAAGTAAGCTGAAGGAGGCAGCCGGCCCTCCCTGTGCATTTCATCACTTGGCTAACAGAGACCTCTTATCCCGAAATGTCAGGGCAAGGTGGGACACCAGGCTGCCTCTCAGAGCAACGCTTGTCCCCATGACCACAACAGTGTCCCTCTTGTTCACCCCCACCTCCTCGGTCCCTGCAAGGTCATGGACTCTCTGAGCGTCTTGACATAAATTTGCTTAGTGGACAAATGTGGACTGTAGACATGCAGGAACCTGCTATCTTACAAGGGGCCTTGATTGCTTAGCGCCTCCTCCAAGCTATGGGCTCTATAGTTATATAAGTGGGATTTCTAATAACTCCTTTCTGGGGCTGTTTTGAGAAATTAAAAAGTGACCATATTTTGGCATATAGACAGTAAATGTGCTCTTTCATGGGAGGAGGAAAGAATGGGAAAGAAACCTTGAAGAACGCTCACTCCAATGGTGATGGCTCCCACGTGTTGGCTTCTGTCCGGGGAGAGCATGGCTTCTATACCACTAATGGGCATGATGTCACAAGATGTATTGACATAATAGTTCAGGCTGAAAGAACCTCTGTGGTGTGAATGATGAGGCACATAGTGAATTGACAGCTCTGGGACACCTGAGCCATGTTCCCAAAGGTACTCAGTTCCTCTTTGAACGGTCTGCCCTTCCTCCCTACTCTGTGAGCCCAGGAGGAAAATGAACTCTTCCATAGTTCTATTTCTTCTCGGATCAAGCAAAGCAGAACTGATTGAATACGATTAAGTAACCCATTGTCCTCAGAGAGCCTCGCCCACTTCTAAGACAGGATTAAAACATAATGACATTAATAACTTCATATTCTTAGGTAATCCAGAATCCATCTCCACCATCCCTCCCAGCTCCCTACATCATAATTAACTCAGGGACCGAAGTGAGGAGGCACACATTAAGATACATATGCAACATTAACTTGTGCCAGTATTCAAGGCTAAGAGCCAAAACAACCAAGAATGCATATTTAGCGGTGAGTCCATATGAGGACAATAACCTAGAATACACTTGTGTACCATGAAGACAAGTTAAATGTGTCCGTAAAAATCCCGAATACCAAACCTGCTGACTTTTGCATCTTTAAATTGATCACTTCCAGATTGTAACATGGGGGGTTTCACAGACAACTTCCTTTGGAGTTTATTTCATTGTGCTGTACACACACACACACACACACACACACACACACAAGATAAAACCCCATCTGGGTAAAGAAAGAATAAATTTCCATGTAATTGATTACTTGCTCTCGTGGCGAGACTCTTCTCTCCTTATAACCTGATGCCATCTGTCCCTGACGAGTGCTGGTTCCCGGTGTACTCAGACATGGAAGAGGTAAAACAGCAGCCGCCCATGAACTGATCCCAGTGCAGAAGCCCAGAGGCCATAAAGTTTAATGAGCATGGCAACTGAGAAATTTCCCTCAGCTGAAATGAGAACTCTTCTCAGGACACAAATGTGAGTGAGCATCACGGTCCTACGAGGAATTGTCTGGTTTCCACCGGAGAAAGATGGAACCCTCCCTCATCCCTTCCATAGCTCCAAATGTATTCTACTTAGAATACCCTCAACCGCTCACTCTGCTCTGTACCCGGTCCGATGTTGTCCCGTTCCCTGGGCCTTCCATCCCCATGTCCTCGCCTCCCTCATTGCTTCCCACACTCGTTTTCAGTCTGTCTCGTCACATGCATCTGTTGTTATTGTCATTTTAGCTGTCTCTCTCTGGGGAACAATGCTTGCTTGCTTTCTGGGAAGCCAGCCTTCTTCCCCTCTCCCACTTCACCTCCAGGAAAGACCTGTGTACCTGGCCTGGAGAGCGCAGTATCGTATTTCCCCTACGGCTACAGT